CTTATGGAGAGTGCTGCGGAAGGTAGGATATGAGCAGACTGCCAAAAGCAGAGCTGCAGCTGCAGTGGGGGCCTGGGAAAGAGAAGTCACTGTCAGCAATATTGTGGTTCAGTCTCCCGATTGCTGAGGGTTTCTGTGTAAAGCTTTTCTGAATAGGGTGAGGAGATAATTGAGGACCTGTGACTTAGCCTGTGCTGTTGAGGGGTCACAACGGTTGAAATTCATGGTCATTTTTTTTCACTCCCACCAGCTTTTGGGGGAAAAAAAATCCAATTTGATGGTGTTTGTGCAACACTTACCAGTTTACCCTAGATCCCACCTTTGGGTTCAGAACTGAGCCATTTCATACATTTGTATTTCTTACTTGTACCACCATGCCTGGCTAAAAATGTGCTTTAAAATGGATTTGATGTAACAATTCCTGGGCCCTGTGAATGAGCACTTGAGTAACAAATGGAGAACAGATCCTTATGCACTGATTTGTCAACTAGTGAGTGACACACAGATCCTCTGTAGCCATCTGTCCCTGCTGAGAAACCGGAACTACCTCTTCTTGTTATTTATTGCCAAATATGCTACTTTCTTATATCCCACTGCAAGAAAAAGGCAGAATGCAAACATCAGCTGCCAAGGGAATCTGTGCAGTTCTCACATCTGCGGGTCTCTTCTGCTGACTGTCTAAGGCTGGGTACATCGTGACCAGGACCCCAGATCAGCACTCTGGCTTCCAGCGGCCCTCACAGTGGACTCATTGGTGATGACCACAAGTATAAATCTAACCAGAAATCTGCAGGACTGTGTGGAAAATTCACTGCACATTTCTATTAAGTTTCCTGTTGGGAATTTTGGAGTGTGAACATAGGGGACATATCTTTCAAACGTGCCTTGAACTCTCAGGAACATGAGCAGGGCAGTGGCCTCTCAGGCTGCCACATACCTTGTGAGACTCAGACAGCCTGGGTGCCACATTCAGGAGATGCCAGGATGTTGGCTGGAATAGGCTGTGATATTGGCACCTCTTGGGATGGGCACAGCCCCCCGCAGGAAGGGTGGGGTGGCCTTCCTGGGTGGCAGAGGTGGTGGGAAGAGGGGGACAGTGGTAGTGCCCAGAAAGAAACCAGGGACCCCATGGTATGTACACAGCAGGGGCCAGAAGTGGGTCTTTTGTGGCCCGGATCCCTGAACTCATCCTGTGCCTGACCCAAGTCACCCTACATCAACATGTGAGTGCTATGTGTGGAAACACTACCTGTTTGCCAGTGGGAGCCCTCCTGTCACCAGGCCTCCCTCCTGGAACAGGTTTGTGTGAGTCCCAGGGCTTCCTGAGGCACTTGGGAATGTTGGCAGTGGGAAGCGGAAGTGCCTATACACCCACAAGGGCGGAAACCTAGGGTCTAGTCCAGGCTTGAGGTGCCCCTCTCCCCTGCTGGCAGCCCAGACTCACAAAAGGCCTCTGTGAGATCTGGAACAGCCCACAGGACAGTCGGGACAGGGCCGCTAGCTCAGGTGCCTGAGATGAACTGCTGCCTGTACTCGTGTTCTTGGGAGTGGTCCAGGCGGGAGACCGAGCTCTGGAGCCATCAAGCTACTGAGAATAAATAACTTCATGGACTGGAAACATGCTGAGGCTTCTTGTTCCCAAACCCTCAGCTCCTCAAAATGTGAGATGCCAGCCACCCCCCTCCCCGCTTTCCTAGGAGAACAAAGGCCTCTAGACCAAGAATTTCCAGAGCTTCTGTAGATCATGCAAACCTACAAAGAACCCTGAGCCTTGAAAGTAGAAATAGCCCATGCTATAAAAATCACAGTCCAGACCTCTCTGGGACCTGGTACCCAGGAGAATGCTTTCATTTTCGGGGCCAGGTGGAGTGTGAGTGAGTGACATTTGCCTGCCATCTGACAGTGCCATTTTAGCCTGTGTCCACTTAGTGAGGGGAATAATCCATTAACAGCTGGAACACACTATCAAAAGGCACTCGGTAAATACTGACAACAGTGAGGCCACCACGTATCTGTGCCATCCAACAGGAATCAGAAGTGTGGAGAGCCCCAAACTCCTAATTCTCAGTGTATTCGTTCCTTTTTCTGCCACATTGCACTAGTGTGTTTGAGAGATGGCTGGATTCCACTAAGCCAGTTCAGATGCTGGAGATGCTAATCTTTCCATAGGACAGTAAAATCTCATTAAGTCAAAATAACCAGAAGAATGGTCAAGCTGAAGTGGAGAGAAGTTTGGGCTATTCCTTGTTCACAACTGAGGGATCCAGGCTAGTATTTGGAGATCTCTCTCCTCCCTGTTTTAATTTTACAGCTTTTCTCTACGTGATTTGTTTGGCATCATTTCTGTAGCTCACAGCGGTGCGAGGGGTGATATCCGTCCTTCGCCTTCTAGCGCTTATTTTTCTGTGTATCCGGGAACGAGAGCCTCGGGCTGCTCGGAAACGTCAGCATTTCTGAACGACTCCTTTCTTTCAGAGTTTACCAGTCTCTCCCAGCGAGCTGTATTCCTGTTACCAATGTTCGAAGGCTCCGCACCTGGCTACCGTCAGTTGTCTTTTGTTTTTTAACTCGGGATTGAATCCAGGGCCTTCGCACTCAGTACATCCCCACTCATCCCACTCTATCCACCCTTTGAAAAATGCTGGGACGGGGTCTTGCTAAGTCTCTGAGTGGCCCAGTCTGGACTTGAGTTTGGGATCCTCCTGCCTCAGGTACCCAGAGTGCAGGGATTGCAGGCGTGCACCACACCTGGCTCCCCGGTCTTGTTTTGTTCGTATAGTAAATATTTTTTTATGAAGGCATTTAGACATACCAGGCCTTGTTTTCTCCAGCTGTGTGGTTTAACATGCTAGCTCTTCCTCCTTTGTGGTCAGGACTCAGGCTTGTTGAGCCAGCAGGTAACACGTGGGAGGCTGCAGCCTGGCTGGGGAATGTTTTTGATTAATGGGAGGCTATTTGGGAAAACAGACTGTACAGTAATTCTCTCCAGCACAGGGGTCTGCTGGAGACATAGAAAGTTTAAACACGCAAGCGCACACGCACACGCACAAGCACGCGCACACGAACCTCCCCCCGCAAAAAAAACAACCAGCCAGCCAACCAAAGACCAGGTTCAAAGAGAGCTCCAGGTGGTCTGCTAGCCCAAGTTCAAAGCGAACAGGTCCTAGGGCATCCCCTGCTGGAAACTCTAGGAACTGCAGCCTTCGGTCTGCAAGTTGGCTCCTTCTGTGCTGCAGGGGCGGGCAGTCTCACCCAGGGATGTTTTGCTGCAGTGCGAGGTGTTACTCATTCGGTGAGTGTGTGCTGACCCCGAGTAAGGCCGCAGATCTCCGTTTCTTGACCCCTCGGGACCATTTGTCCAGGTCCCAGCTCCTGGCAGCCGGGGAGGCACAGAGCTTCCTGCCTCGAGACAGAGCTTGCACTTCTGATTTCTGAGCCCCTCGGACTGTGAGTCCACAAAACACCTTTGCTGGCGAGAAGTGTCTCTTTAACATAAACGACCTCTCAGGATTCAACGAGCAAGACATCTAGAAGTCTGTAAAGGAAAATACTTGGAGGGAAGGAAAACCTTACATTTTTCCAAGGCGTGAAATCCACCACCAGGAGGCGGTGTAGACAGCAGCTCATCCTGGGGACCGCGGCCCTGTAGTTCTGATGAAAAGGCTCTAAGCTCAAAGGACGCGAGGATGAGTAGAGGGTGGAATACTGGGTGTGTGATAGAGCTCCGAAAAGAATATTAAAGGGACCTGCGTTTTTCACAATAATAGAGCAGTAAGTCCAATAAAGTTTCTATCATCTATGAAACAAAGTATTAACTATTGAAGTTGGTTTGAGAAAAATAGAAACGTGGAGGTGAACAGAAAAGCTTTGGCTCTGTGCCCCGGGGAGGGGTGGATTATGAAACTCTCAACGAGAGAACTCAGGACATTTCTCTGCCCTTTAAACACTGCGAGCACCTCTGAAATTCCAGCATGCCTGTGAGGTAAGTGGGTAGTATTTTTATTTTTTAATAAAAGGACAAATAGAGGTATAAAGATTCCATACAGGACCTAGTGGATTATAGAACTAAAACAACAGTGAAACCCAGAGAGTCTGATGATCCTTTTGTTATTAAAAGAAAAATGACAATTTCAGAACAGCTGAGCCAGTCCACAAACTTTAGAGAGCAGCATGAACTCTTTCGTCCTCTGTGGAGGGCAGCATGTAGCTCTGCTGGTCTTGCGTACTCAGCCTTTGCTCTTGGAGAAAAGTGGATATCAGATCACCAGGGGAAAGCATCCCTCTCAACCTAAGCATCATGGCTGGCATTTGGAAAATCTGTTTATTTTGTTTTGCATTAGAGAAGGGCATGTGTGTGGTACTGGGTATTGAACCCAGGGCCTTTACAGTGAACTACATCTCCAGACCTTTATTTTTATTTTGGACAAAGTCTTGCTATGTTGCCCAGGCTGGGCTTGAACTTGTGATTCTCCTGCCTTAGCCTCCAAGAGTGCTGGGATTGCAGGGGTACACCACCATGTCTGACTCCAAAGATTTATCTATCTATCTAGCTAGCTAGCTATCTGCTAGCAATTTAATACAGGCTCAGTGCTCTTCAACCTGACTGGCTGGGGGCATTTAGGTAGGTCCAGTTTTGAGCAGGATGAAGAAGGAACATATACCAGTCCCTTTTCCTTCCTCCCCATAGATCCATATGTGTGTGCAGGTATAAGTGAGTCTGGAAATAGAATAGTGGAACTCTCAGAGCAGCATGCTAGGCTTTGGAATCAATTACCTATGGCTGGCTTTCTTATAAGAGTAAACTTACACTGGGTGGTCCCTACGTATGAAGTGTTTCATGGCAATGTTTTTCTAACTGTGGGTCAGAACCCATCAGTGAGTCCTAAGGTCAACTTGAAAGGATCTCAGCCAATATGTTTTTCTAACTAGGGTGGAATGGAAAAAAAATATCGGAAAAAGCACACATTTTATTTCAGAGGTTGTATGTCATGTTTTACTGGGCCCTTGTATAGATTGTGTTCCTTACTAGCGGTCATGTTCAAAAGTGGTTGGAAGCCACCTTCCACAGCACTCACCTGTTTATGCCTGGCTCTGTGTCACTTATGACAGTGCAGTTCTTGTGCTCCCTTCCAGCCTGCCAACTTCTAAAAATGGGATTAATGTCTGGATTACTTTTTCTTGGCTGTAGTGATTTCTGTAAACCTTACACATGACAGGTGTTTAGGAAACCTGTTTCAGATTTACTCTGTATTTTTGTTGCTTCTAAATAAACTCTAACACGTACTTTTAGACCTACCAACTGCTATTTATGATTCTTTCATTCATCTAATACCAAGTGTACACGTAGGCTAGCACTAAGGCAAGCACCACTTTTGAACCATCTTTTCCTTATTTGTACACGTGGAGGCCCAAACATACAGGAACTCAGCAGAAATGGTCGGGTTATGGCTATTGGGTGGATTTGAACTTCTGTTTTTCAAAGAGCTCTCTCAGCTGCTGCTCGGTGGTGGCTTCCTTCTGCTGCATCAGCTCAGCTGTCCCTTTGGTCACCCCCCAGGCATCAGGCTTGGACAAGGAAGGGTTGTAAGGCCTGCCTGAGGCGATCCGGAGACTCTCCCAGTATTCCTTCCTGGCCCTGTGGGACCAAAGCATAAAACATCAGGCTCCAGCCCTGTGTGTCCAGCTCTCTGTCCCTGAGCCACAACATAACCCAGGGCATCTTCAGACTCTCAGAGTGTCCATTAAAGCAGAAAAAGGCCTTTTTAACCCTCAAACTGATGGTCTAAAATTGCTTCATCTCCCTTTTCACATATAAATAGGGATCAAAAGCTTAGAATTTAGAGTGGTTACATTTTCTGCCCAGTGTACATGACCTGTCCACCCTTACATTCTGCCACTGTTCCTTGTGGGCCGGCATCGAATGGCTTCTGTACCTCTCCCTCCGCAGACTCTGGCTTCTCCCTTCTCTTTCCTTTGTCTCCTTCTGGCTCAGCCCTCCTCGTGGCTGAGAGTCCTTCTTGAAGGCATATGTGCAAGGCTGTGGCACTCGCTAACTCTCAAATCTGCCCTCACACGGACCGCCGGATGTGCTGCAGACCCCTCACTGCCTGTGCGAAAGCGTTGCTATCAGCTCCCACTCCGCTGTGCTCAGGCTTCTAGTTTCTCAGTGCACAGTTCTCCCACCCCCAGGCCTTCCCCGCATGCTGTTCCTGTGTCTGGCAACATAATTCACCCCGCAGAATTCAGCTCAGGCAGCGGCGGGCTCAGACACCCTCCATCAGCCCCCTCGGGCTTTGGCTTCTGGGGACCATTGGCTCAGACCCTGGTGAGGATGCGCCTGAGCTCCTCCGTGAACTCACGCCTGCCTTCACCGGAACAGCCTGTGCCTCTGTCTAGTCTGCTAACTCGGGGTGGGGGTGGGCAGGGGCTGTGCAGAGTTCAGCTTGCAGCAACAGAGTCACAGCAGTGTCTGACAGAGCTGCTCTCCGTGAACTCTGCTGAATGGTGTGGGACGGCTCTCTCTGCTGGGCTGGCCACCTTCCGGCCTTCTTCTCTACTCAGCCTTAAAAAGGGTCCAAGAGACCTTTCTAGAATATCTTCCTATTCACTTCTCCATTCTGCACTCCTCTACCGTAAGTTACTCCTGGATAATATATTGGATTTCTTATCCATTTCCCCCATAGTCTGCGAGAGTCTCCAAGCCAGAAACCACAGATTTCCATTTCTGTGGCCCTACTCATGTTCTGCACCCGCTTGATATATAAAAATTTGTTTTCTTGTTATTATTCGTCTCTACCACTGGAATGTAGGCTTGAGGGCAAATTTCTTGACTATCTTGTTTACTACTATGTTCTCACTGCTGCAGATCTTGACATAAAACAATATTGTTGTGTTTAAGTCGTATTTGACTCTAATAAATCCACATGATTCAATGTTAGCATCTCCCACATAGATGGTGCTTTCTTAGACCCCCCCAAAAAAATCACATTTCATTGCCACTTATATTGTTCATATTCTATATTCTTAGAGTCTTTTCCACAAATCAGCTCATAAGGCTGTTCTATAAATATTTCTGGGAGAGAATTTAATCATCACAAAGCAAATTAGCTGCCCTCTTAGTGGCCTCGCTTGGACCTCAGTATTCAGATCCAAACCAGTTTGGGCTGGCAAATGGTGCTTACCTTGCTCTAATCCAGGGTTTTGTGTGCATGTCCAAACCACTTCCCCAGCTCCCGTGCTTTTCAGAAGCGGGTGGCAAAAATCCCCTTTCTGGGGCCAGCTCCTCCGCAATCGCCCTGATGTGGTAGGGCTCAAACCCACAGCACCCGCCGATGTAGCGGACCCCCAGGTTGTAGGCCTCTCTGGCGTATTTCTGAATATCCCATCTGGTGGCGACTCTGGGCTCCAGTCCTGTAGTAAATGCCATTTTGTCTGAATTCTTTTTATTAAAAAATCCAAGATAAATAGCTATAATAAAAATTTCAATAAACAGGCTGTAGATACTCAGCTCTTAGATTTTAAACCTGTAGGGACTCTGGTTCGACATGTGTGGCCTTATGTCCCAATGACCCAGTTCTCTGAGCTTTCCCCTGTCACCGAATCAGGGTGACCTGGTAGACGACAGGCAGTGCGTGGAGGAGGGGTGTTGTGTGGCCTCAGGGGCTGGGGCAGAGGAAAATGCCTTGGCTTCTGCCTGGCTTTGCTTGGAGCACTGGTCCTGGGGGCCAGCTTCTGTGCTGCAGAAATACTGCAACATCACAGGAGCTGGGGTCTGCAGTTCACAGACAACAAGACGCTGGTCCCCAGAACCACCCATATGCACATGTGCGTAGCAGATCCTCTATGCTGCCAGGCTCTGAATGCCGCCGTCTCCTACTGGCTAAATGTCAAGGGAGTTTTGGGGCTGTGGGGCCCCACTAGGGGCAACAGATGAGAGCTTTGCAGCCATTTCTTTACTATGACAAAAACTCTCTGGCTGTATTTATTTGAAGTTTATCAAGCAAAGATATGGAGATGATTTATAAAAGTGCTGTCTTACCAAAGGGGAATTCTGGGAGATCAATAAAGCCTTGCTTGCCGCAGTCAGGAGTGTGGTAGGCCAAGGGCTGGCTCATCAGGTGAGCTTTTAGCCCTGCGGCCGCCAGGCCCTCCTTCATGAGCTTGACCGTCTGCAGGCTGGTTGTGGGGTCAAAGTGGCAGTTCACCCCCACGATAGAGGCACCTGCAAGCAGAGGACAGATTAGCATCGGGACTGCCCTGCTACCTGGGGCTGACTCTGTTCCTCTTCAGCAAGCCCGTTTGGAGTAATGGATTGGAAGTTTTGCATCGGTCCCCACTTCCCACAGCCTTGGCCAGCTGTGAGCAAGACTGATTACTAGTGGGCAGAGTACTTTCTGCGAGAAGTGCTTTGAGGAGTCTGGTATAATTGAAGTGTCATTTAGGCGCACTGGGCTGTCCATCTCCCCTCCAAAAAAAAATCATTAGAGTTTTTTTCTTTTTTACTTCAAAGTTTAGTAGTCAATTTCTCAATGCCTGACATTTTGTTGCAAGCACAATAATTTCCAACACGCCCAGCTGCTAGATTGCACCTGTGTTTACCATAGCACTGCTCATTTGAGGCGTAAATAAATGTTCCCTCTCACCAGGCCTGTTTAATAATTTCAGTAGACTTCTTGGAAAAAATAGCAGAAAGTAATTTAGAAAAAAAGTTTTTCAGATATATGTTTTCCAGAAGGAATTTTGTGTCTAGGGTTAGTGGTCTGGAGAAAAACACATTAAAAAATCCTTTGACTTGAGTCGATCAATACAGTTAGCAGCCTGCCAATAATTTGTCACACCTTTCAATTATATTTTGGCCTCCAACTCACAACTACATGGTTTGTGCTCTTAAAGCTTCCTTCTAAAAATCTGTTGTTGTGGAAGTCTGATTTAGGGAGAACAGAATGTGCTTTAGACACTTCATGTTTTCAAAGACTTTCTTGATGGTCACTGTATTCTTAGCTGCATCTGGGCTGAAGACAATTGATCGTGGCATTGTTAGACATGATTTTGGAAATCTCTGAAGGATTTGTAGAGCCAAGGTGACTTGACCGTCTCCTCTTGAAATGGGAGAGATTTTCATAATGAACTTTTCTTTTGGCTTTTTGTATTTTTCAGATTTTGCTAAACTATATAGTCATAAAATTGGCCATTTTAATTGTTTTAAGTGTTCAGTGTTGTTACATTCACAACATTGTGCGGCCATCATCACTGGTTTCTTTGAGACAGGGTCACCTATGTAATTCAGGTTGGCCTTGAACTCACTATGTACCCTAGGCTGGCCTTGAACTCCTGGTGATCCCCCTGCCTCATCCTCCTGAGTGCTGACATTATAGGTGTGTGCCACCATACCTGGCCATTATCACTATTGACTCAGCTTTTTGCCACCCCAGAGAAAAACTCTATATCCATTAAGCAAAAATTCCTAATTTCTCCCTCGTCTTCCTACTCTGGGTGGTGACTAATCTACTTCTGTCTCTGTGGGATCTACCCTTTTGGATGCTTTATATGAATAAAGTCATGTTTTTTTGTTCAACCGTGATTGGCTTATTTCAGTGAGCATGATGGTTCCTAGGTTCATTCCTTTTATAGCATATATCAGAACTACATACATCCCTTTTCATGGCCGAATACTTCTCCATTGCATGGATGTACCACACTTTGGTTATCCATTCATCTGCTGAAGCACTCTTGGGTTGTTTCTACCTCCACAAGAACTTCTTTTGGATGACTCACAACTTGGAGTTTGTATTTTAGGTTTAGAGTTACCAAGAGTCAGGGCAGGAGAGACTTCCTGGCCCCAAGGAGAGGAGTGCAGCATGCAAACCCAGGAGCAGCAGGGCTGAGGCTGTAACTGTTGGCAGCTGGTGCTCAGTGGCAGGCATCTCCTTGGTCCTTGCTGGGCTGGGTCTGGATGTGCTCTTCATTTTTGGTCATCCATGACTAAATGTTGCCAGGTCCAGTGTGGACCTCTGAGCAGCCTTCAGCTCTGGCCGCACACCCACTCCCCTAGCTTGAGAGCCCTCCCTGCCAAGCAGCACCTCTGCCTTCCTGATGCCTGGGAGTGGGTCGTGAAGTGTCCTGGACACTACAGAGACACCTGTTCTCTTCCCCAATGCTTCCTGTTCACTCAGGGCTCCCAGTGTCATCGACTGTAGGCAGATCACTCCCGTCTCTCTCCAACCCCGACCTTTTCACTGGGTCTCAGACTTGTACATTTTACAGCTTACTTCTCATCTTCACTGGGACCTCAACTACCCCTTTATTATTGTTATTTTTGGTTGTAGGATTACCAGACTTTCTTTTCTTGCTTAACTTTATACTAAGGAATTAATCATCTATTGGTCATTTATTAGGTATCTACTAAGTATAAGGTTCCTTGCAAGAGATTATAGAGAAACACAAATATAGCATGTAAGGCTAACATCAAGGATTTTACAATGTAGCCCAGTGTTTCCCAAGGTTTGATCCATAAACATAAGATTCTAGGATTAATTAAATTAGACAGGCTCCTGCTCCTCCTTCTCCTCCCACTCCCCGCCATTCCTGGTATTAAAGTCAGACCTTGCACTTGTGAGGCAGGTGGCAGCACCACTGAGCTAAATCCCTGGCCCACAACATCCTCTTCTTGAAGACTGGCTATATATATATAT